CCCTCCCCCCCCCGCCACTTCATGCAATAAACTGACAGACTTAAACAAGGGCATGAATACAGACCTGAAATGTGCACTGGAGACCAGGCCAAAGTCCCTTTATATATCGCTTTAAATAAAGTTCACAGGAGCCCAGTCCTTTGATCTGGGAGGTCATGGAGGGAGTTTCCTGCCGGACACGGGAGTCCTGTGTTTTACATAACTACTTATGCAAGTGACGGTCGGTGGCGTCCAGGGTATGCCTGTCCAAATGACCTTGAAGAGACCCTGGTCAGGTGGCCACCAACCAAGAATGAGCCTCAGGACTTCTGGACTCCCTTGAGTGGGGAAATGGCAGCACCTGGGCTGTGGCTGCCGCCAGGCCCCAAAGTGGCCCTCTTGTGGTTGGAGATCATCATTCTGGATCATGGGAAGAGTCAGAGGCTCCCCAGGACAAACTGGGTTCTAAGAATCCAAACAGAAAGGGAAACTCCGATATCCAGAATGTATACGTGTGCACGCATGTGTGCGGACACCCACATATGTATGTGTGTCCGTGTGTACCCTGGCCCCCACCACCTGTGCAACATGTTGGTTTGATTTGGTATTAGAACTGGCAGGAAAACAAGCTCTGAGAGCAAGGCTTTTGCCTGCAAAGTCAAACCCAGCAGCTTGACCTGGCATCCATGCCGATCTGTGTAGCTCTCTGCCACACAGAGGAATCATTGGGCAATGAGAAATCATTCAGAATAATGGCCTGGCAGCAGTACAGGAGGCCGAAACTCCTCCTGAATCATCAAAGAAAATGATTAATTTTTAGTATAACTTATCAGGGAAGGGAGTATTCATTCTGGCTCTCAGACTAGTTAAGCCGAAATGGTCTGTCCATTTAGCCAAACTGGACAGGCCCACCTTTGTGCTGAGGACTAGAAGAAGAAGGATTTGAATATGAGCAGCCCTGGCCCCTGCTCTTGGGAGCTGGGGTGAGTGGGGAACAGCCCACAGGTACAGAAATTGTTCTACGAAGCATGCTCAGAGCCTGAGATGAGTGCTCAGGGTGCAGCAGCAGGGCGGGGAGGGGGGAGCAGCTCAGGCAGCTGTGAAGGGTAATGGCCAGTTCAAATCCCCACTCATTAACTATGACTTTAGCAGTGTTCTTTTATCTCCAAGTCTGTTTCCTCATCCATAACAAAATGGGAATCTCTGGTACCTTGTAAAATGCTTGTGAATGTTAAACTTTTTAAAAGAATGATAAAATGCTAAGCCCAGTGCATGCTCGGAGAGTGCACCACATGACGCTCCATCCTCACATGCAGGGAAAATTCCCAAAGCTACTGGATGTCTTAGGTTTCCATGAAAGGGAAAGAGTTGGCATTCGAGAGAGTTGGTGGTAGGAAATACAGAGATAGGGAAAGTCTGGCTTCTAGGCAATACTTGTGTCTTGTTTTATCATTTCACAGTGCTTTGATAGTCATTAACCCCTTTCTAGACTAGGTCTGAGCCAGTGATGAATGCCTCTTGGTCTACGTAGGGGGAAAGAGTTCACCTTCTCGTGGCAGTGGTGATAGGCGGTGACGGCTCTTGACAGCATCAGGGAGGACTCTGAGGCTGTCTGGCTGATGGTGGGCCGAGTGGGCTGAGTGGTCCCCGAGCTGGGGGCAGGCAGGCCGCCTGTGCTGTGAACGCCAGTCTTCTGTGCTCTCCCCTCACCAGACGTGTTGGCTTCGCCCTTCTTCCAGGTGGAAGTGATCAAGAAAGCCTACATGCAAGGCGAAGTGGAATTTGAGGACGGAGAAAATGGAGAGGACGGAGCTGCCTCCCCCAGGAACGTGGGCCACAACATCTACATCCTCGCTCACCAGGCATGGCCTCCCCGCGCCCCTCCAGACACTGCCCCCTTACAGCGCCCGAGTCCCAAGCCAGACAGGGCCGCAGATGGGCTTTTCCTGGAAGGCTTTAAACCTAGGGTCATTTGAACTACTGAGATTGTGGCTTGCAGTTGCCCTGGGCAACCTGCCCCCAAGGTGCTGGGTTGTTCCAAGACACTGCCATTTTCCCACTGCAGTGGGGGTTGAAGTACTTGGAAATCCCCAGGCTTCTTCCAAGCATCCAGCCCTGAGCTGTGGCATTAGATGCTTTATGACTTTGGTCTGGGGCCATTTGAAAGGAGTCAGGCTTTCATAAACGCTAATGAGTTTCTCGTAACAACCTAAAGAAAACTTCAGCTTCCTGGCCTATCTGACTTGAAGATCTGTGGGAACCTGTCCTTCTGACTTCCTTCTGTTTGCCTTTCTGGGGATATGGTGATACTTCATGCCCTGGCACCAAAACACCACGTTGCATAATTCTCTCCCCAAACTGGCTGTGTTTTGGAGCTTGCTTCCTCTTTTGGGGGCGCTGATGTGCATTTGGGTGGAGATGGCCATGCGGTAGCCCAGCTGGAGACTCGTGTTTCCTGTTTCCTTCGTCCCTTTTAAACTCAGATAGAGGATGTGGGTGTAAACCGATGGCAGGGTCGGGCTAGAGATCGGCAGTTCCCTGCCCCTCGTACAGGCTGAAGGATTTCAAAACCCTTTTCCTCCCTGCAGTCCCTAGCCTCCAAGAGGCCTTTCTTCTGAATATTCTGTAGGGAAGACTCCATGGAGCTGCACCAAAAACGCCAGCCCCTCCTGCCTGGCTAAAGAAATCAAGGAAAAGTAGGACCCTACATGGGCACGAGCCTTCCATGCTTTTATGCCAGGTTCCCAAAATAGCCGCCGTGCAAAGCACACTGGGCGGAAGGGAGCCAGCCTCCTGGCACCTTTGCCCTTCAGCTTGCTGCTGGGCATTATGTATTTGTTTAAGCTCACAGCTAGAGAGGAGCTCATGTATTCCTGCGACAAAGAGACACTGACCCCTGCATTTCCGTGCCTGTGTTCTAGTTGGCTCGGCATAACAAAGAACTTCAGACCATGCTGAAACCTGGCGGCCAAGTGGACGGAGATGAAGCTCTGGAATTCTACGCCAAGCACACGGCACAGATTGAGGTGAAAGCAGTCAGCCTAGGGCTTGGGAGGGCTGAGGCTTCGCGAGTTTGGCCTGAGGTCTCGAGATCTTCTGTGGACGATTCCCCCGTGCTGGAGCTTGCACACATCCATGCAAATGAGCAATGGAAAGGTTGTGAGCTGCATGGGTGCTGAATACCCAGTTAATGTCCAGAAAAGTCACAGTGCCTGCTCAAGGTCTGGAGGGGGAGGCAGACACTTAGCAGATTTACACGGAGAGATCTCAGCCGCAGAGGGGCCTGCTATAGATTGTAGTAGCCCAGGAGGCCTGGTGTAAAGAACTGGTATCTAAGTACAGACATAAAGAACGCAGCAACTGATTAGCCCAGAGGGAGAAGCTCTTCAGACCTGGGGAAGAGTCTAGGTAAGGGACAGGGCTAGAGAAACCCCTAGTAGCTAGAGGTCAGCAAGCTGGTGGGGGACAGCATACGGCCAGGCAGCCATAATGTCAGACCTCCTGCACCATCCTCCACCATCTGGGCCCTCCTCAGATAGAAGGAACTGATTGGACACTTTGACCCAGGGGAGCACTCCAATCTAGGGGAGCACTCTGGTCAGATCTGCATTTTAAACAGGACAAAGCAGAAGTCTCCTCGTCATCTGGGAGCTCGGTGGTGTCACCTCCATTTTGCAAATGGAGCAGCTGTGCAGTAAGCTGAGTGAGGCTGTGGCACCTGTGCGGCATTCAGTGGTACTGCTGGCCTTTGAAGCCTGGTCTGTTTGACTCCTGAGTTTGGGGTGCAGTTTAGGACACCTGTGCTGTCTGTCAGCATCCTACAGAACACAGTCTTCTGCCTCCAGGATCCAGGCAGTAGGAGATGATGAGGCTGCCTGTTTGGCTAGCGAGGAAATACAGTGTCCGTGTGGGGAGAGGGATCTGGAGGGACTGACAGACTTCTTCCAGCAACGTAATGTATTTGGGGTAGAGACTCCTCAGAAATGTGTTCTTCCGCTGTCTCAGGCCTCGAAGGCAGTGCATCATGCTGGTAACTAGGCCAGTAACATATGTGAGCACACAGGTTTGATATTAGTGGCTGGAAACGTGGCCCAAGAGCCGACTTCGTCCTCTGGATCCTTTAGAAGCCAGGCTTCGGGTGTTTTCAGTGTGCAATGGTGGCGGTGATCCCCGTATGTGCATTGGTTGGGTGGAGAAGACAGGCTCAGTCAGTTAGACGGTGTGAACAGTGTCTCCCCATCTGGTCTCATGTTTGTTCTCTCACCTTCCACTTCCAAGCCAGGAAAAAATAAATAAATAAAAATGTCCATTGAAACCCCTTGTATAACTACTTAATTTTTTTTTAAGGAGGGAGAGGTTATAAATGACTGAGATATGGCCCTCGGAGCCTGCGGCCCCCAGCCACCACCCACCCTCCCTTCAGATCTCCCTTGGGGACCAGGGGAGGTGTCTGTGCAAAGCCAGGGAACACTTTGTCACTTCCTGTGGAAATGCCACTTTGTTGTTACTGTATTGTTGTTGTTAGACCATGGGCTGGGCTTCTACCACTACGGCTTCTGCCACTGTGGCTTCTGCCATCGCTGGAAGGACAGGCATGTGCCACTGTGCCAGGCTTGAGGTGCCCTGCTGACATGATGTGAACTTTTTCCTCGGGCCGGCCTAGAACCATGATCCCTGTCATCTCAGCCTCCCACAGAGCTAGAATTACAGGAGTAAACCACTAGGCCCATCCTGATCAGGGCCCTCAGCACCCGGAGAGACAGAGTTGGTCTCTCACCTGTGTGTCCTCTAAGGTCACTCGGGGAAATGGTTCACCGGCAGGTTCTGGGCATTAACTCCCACACGGCAGGTGCAGCTCCCTGAGGCTGGCTCTGAACCAGAGTCCGTCTGGTAACAAAGCCTCCTGAAAGCCGAGTTCCGGCTTCATTTACAAGCTGCTGGTCTAGGCACCATGCTCCTAATAGCCTCCGGAACCTGTGGGAACCCGCCTCACCTCGGCTAGAGTTTCCCACCATAACGTGGCCTGAGTCACCTCTCTTGCTCCACCAGGGAACAAAGGTACTGAGGGAGGAGAACAGGCTCTTCCTGTTGAGCGCCTCAGCCCTGGGTCTCACCTGACTTCTCCAGCCTCTGGGGAGTAAGAACAAAGAGGACATGCCTGTGTGGTACCACAGCTCATGGCCCTTTATAAATCTCTACCCCTAGGATCGTGACTCAGGACCGTGTCCTAGAATTCAAACAATCTAGATCAGACTCCCTCCTTCCTCTCTGGGGACTGAGCCAGTAGAGGAAAGGCCTGGGAGAAACCTTTGAAGTGTCTACTCCTGGGGCCCCCACAAAGCTAGTCTGAGGGACGGCATGGCTATCCCAGTCGAGTGGGAATGTTGATTGCCGTGCCCCACGTCCTATGGATGGCGGGACAAGTAGGTCATGGTGATCGGACAGAAACCAAACCTTTGGAACAGACCTTCACCAAGTGCCCATTGGGAAAAATAACTCAATTTTGCCATCTTGAGAAAAGATCTCGGTGAGGTTTACACCCTTGGTCTGGCACTGGCCCAGTGCAGTGTGACATCCACTAAGTGTGTCACTGCTAGGGAAATAGAGATCCCATTCTTCGGTTGCCCTTTGTGCATGTGCTAACGTTCAGGAGTCACCTGGCTACCGCAGAAAGGTAGATTGGACAGTCGCAGCCTCCGCCAAAAGAGGTACACAAAATCTGGACCGTTTGTTTCAGATAAAAGTTGCTGACATTGAAACGAAAGGGGTCCGAGGCTAGAAAAACACTCTGACAGACTTGCCAGAATGATTTTTTATATAAATTTCGGAGAGAAGCAGCCTAGCACGAGGCGGGGAGGGGTCCTAGAAATCAGAGAGGTTCAGATCCCATGTCTTGAACCCCCAGTCTACTGCCAGTGGACTAGAACCATTGCAAAATTGTTTAAATCTCACCTATGTTTTTTTCCACCCTAGATTGTCAGATTAGACCGAACAATGGAGCAGATCGTCTTCCCTGTGCCCAGCATCTGTGAATTCCTAACAAAAGAGTCAAAATTACGAATATACTACACCACCGAGAGAGATGAGCAGGGCAGCAAAATCAATGACTTCTTCCTGCGCTCTGAAGACCTCTTCAACGAAATGAACTGGCAGAAGAAACTGCGAGGTGGGTCTCGAGAGAGCCTCGACACTCCCCAGGGTGGTGCTCTTTGGGGGTGGCACCAAGCCTGGCCTTGTGGTATGTTTTTATCTCCAGGCAGAAGCCACATCAGTATAACTTGTGACACTTTTCCACCTCTGACCTCCAGGAAATCAGAGGAACTTGAGTAGCTGATAGATGTGCCATGGTCTAGGGAGACAACTTCTCTAAAAAAGGTTGCCTTTGGCTGGATTTGACTGGGGAGTCTCATGGGTGACTCAGGAAGCCTGTTTTGGTATCTTAACGTTGAAAGTCGAAAGGAAGGAGAGAAGTCCAGGCCTTTGCACTCGGGATGGGTCACCGGGGCCAGCCGTGCAGACAGCAGGATCGCTCATTTACTAGCACACCTGCTCCGGAGACGCTGGTGTTTGCCCTCTTACGGCATAGCTCGGATCCGAGACTCTAAATCATTTTACGGGCGGTGGAATCGTTTGCCATATAAGATGCTTCGTTGCTCACCAGCAGGTCCTGCTGAGAAGTTGGGCCAAGTCAGGTTGAAATTACCCGTCTAAGACAGGTTTATGGGGCTTTCCCAGAGGGCTTCCTTGCTCCTGGTTTTCATTGGGGTTTTAATGTGATCCTTCAGCACGAACAGTACGCTTGGCACCAGCTGTTGCGAACAACTTAAAAGGGATCGTGCTTCATTTCTGTGTGTTAGTCAGGCACCGGGTTTGTTATTTGAAACCCTGGGGTCTGGCTCAAGCGCGATCTTTCAGGCTCTTTCTGTGAGGTACAGCTGGGGCAGGGAAAGCTGGCTTGAAGTCAGTTTCCAGCAGTGCCTGTCCTCTCCCTGATCAGTGCCGATCCGATCCGGGCAGAGCTGAACCTGCCTCACTCAGCAGGGTTCCTTGATCTTTGACTTTTTCCTCATCCTCCCGCCTTCCTAGATTCACAGTGACAGGGAGGCCTGTACAAACCAGTTGTCCAGAAGACTCTGTTCCCACCCTTCCCCACCCCCTTCCCCCACTCATGATCGTCCAGGTCTAACACGTATCTCTGAAGCATTTTAAAATGTCTTACCAGGACAGACTTGTCCAGCCCTGAGATCCATGTCCTGCGACTGCCCAAGGGGACAGCCTTCACCACGTCCTTCTTGATATGCAGTGTGTCCTTAAAGCCTACTGTGGATCTCTCTGAAACTCTCCTACTCATGCTTCATCCTGGGAATTTCTACCCAGCACCAGGCTCAGGCAAATAAGAGAAAAAAGATACACCCTCTCCCCTCCAAAAAGAGGAGAGGGGGAGATAGAGACCCCACCCACTGCATACTCACTTCCAGCTCATAGAGTAAGGAGAGGAGAAAGTCTCTTCATTTGCCTTTGCCTATCCCAATATTCCATAATCGCAGCTTAGTGTGTCATCATGAATCCATGTGCCCAAACCTTACTAATGAACAGCATCTTTCTTCCTATCCAGCGTCCTTGTCTACTGAGATGAATCAGATATATTCTTTATCTCAAAATTGTGTTATCAAGCTGGGTGCCAGTGGCTCACGCCTGTAATCCTAACTACTCAGGAGGCTGAGATCTGAGAATCACGGTTCAGAGCCAGCCTCTGGGCAGGAAAGTCTGTGAGACACTTATCTCCAATAAACCACTCAGAAAACCAGAAGTGGCGCTGTGGCTCAAGTGGTAAAATACTTGCCTTGAGCTGAAGACCTGAGGGACAGTGCCCAGGCCCAGAGTTCAAGCCCTACAACCGATCAAAAAAAAAAAAATTGTGTTATCAGATACATGTATATGTTTTAGGGGCTCTTTGAAAAGCTGGTGAGCCAATGCCTCTTCCTAAGATGCTATCTCTGGCCTGCGGTAGCAGGAGGCTCTCACCCAGGAGCAGGAAGGTAAACGCATTTCTGCTTTGCCACCCACTGGCTCTGTGGCTTCACTATTCCCAGACCCTCCCCAGTAAAGTGAGGAATTAATAACACCTGATAGATTCATTTATTCTCGAAGGACCTCTTCATTTTGTGATTTATTTTATATTATGGTTAATACCTTTCCTCATTTTGGTCTTTCTGTTTCTGGAAAACAGTTTTGTTTCCATGAAGCTTAAGTATAACTGTACTTGTCAACTGAGAATTTTTTAATTGGCTTCAAAACCAGTTACCAAGAGAAAAATAGAAAATAATAACTGAATTTGAGATGATTTGCATAGTTAAGGAAGGGCAAAATGTACTCATTGGAAGGACAGATAAAATAAAACACATTATTCTCTCCTAAAAGCAGCTCGCTTCTCATAAGTCTACAGGAAAGATTTTTCTGGCCTGTCTTTGTAGCTGCTTTGCCTATCCTGAATGTGTTGCTGAGATTAAGCCTAACTGATTACTCAACAGAAAGCCAATGTTGCTTAGTGTTTTCTTCAGCAAGAATTTAAATACCCACTTGTGTTGCTCTCTGGAAACCTTCTTCCATACAGAACACCTGAGCACAGGTTCAAAAACACAAACACACACAGACCACACACACCCTTGTCAGTATTCCTGTGACCTTCTATGATCTTCTCTATGACCTTCTCCTGAAGAAAACCGGAAGACAACGTGTGAGACATGGACCTTTTCTTGCTTGGGATTTTCTCCCATGATTATCACACTTGTAGAAATACAGCTGGAAAAGTCTACGTGCATGTATATACATATGTGTGTATATATATATACACATATACACACAAAATATATAAACTATATGCCGAAAGAGTGTGTGTGTGTGTGTGTATATATATATATATATATATATATATATATATATATTTCAAGTCATCCAATTAAGGCTAGCTTCTTTAAATAGCAGTAGCCAGGAGCGGGCATTAGCAAGAGAAGCCCCAGGTATAGTTATGTAACCCACTCTTCCTGTCTGTGGTCATCGCACCACAGTTGTGCTGTAATATGGCAGGTGTATTGATCCAGCCAGCCTACAGCTCCCAGTAAGTAGAGAGCACAGTGCAAGATCCAGCAAAGGGATTCAATCACACACAGGCTCTGACTCTGTCCTGGGGTGGGGTGGTTGCCATCTGAAGGGGCGTAGACAGCACAAGCATACTTGTGAGTAGCCGCAGTACCAGGCTGCTTATGATGGGAGGCTATAATCAAACAATGATGGCTTATGGGAAAGCAGGGGAAACCTACCTTCAGAGAGAAGGTAGGATGGGAGAGCATCTACAGGGGTGGGCAGACTTGGATAACACAGCGTGGAAGGTGGAGGTAGGGGAGGTAGATTCAGTCAGTTTCCTCATCGCTGCTGTTAACACATTTCCAAAAACGTTGAGGCTTACAGCGGCATGAATGTATTACCTTACGTTTATGTTGTTCAGAAAGCTGAAAAGGACCTCACTGGGCGAACATCAAGGTGCTGACAGGGCCCTGTTGTCTGCTGCCTCCAGCCCTTTCCAGCTTCTAGAGAGGCCTGCCTTCTTTGGCTCTGTCTCTTCCTCTCTCTCCACAGCCATGCCTGTCCAGCAGAGCCTTTCTCAGGCTGCATCCCCCTTTCATGTAAGATAACATCCCTTTCCAGAACATTGACAAGCTTTGCTGATTAGAGGGGGACCTGAGAGGGACTTTATTGTGCCTGCCATCCAAGGTGCATGGATTGCTTCCTATTACTGCATCACTAATTACTCTCAACATGTAATAGCACACACTAGAAATATTTCTTTTCTCATAGACTGTTAAGGCCAGAGATTTGAGAGCGGCTTAGCTTCATTGTTTGGGCCCCGAGTCTTGCACTGTGTTGCTTCTGAGATGCCAGCAAGGGCACATCATCCAAACACGTGTCTGGACTTGGGGGGGTCCACTCCTCAGGGCTCCCACGTGGTTGTGGGCAGCAGCCTTGGTTCCTCTGCACACGCATCTCTCTATGGGTCTGCCTGAGAGTTCTGCTGACACCGCTGTTGTTTGTCTCAGAGCAAACAGTCTGGGAGAGAGCAAGGAGGAAGCCACAGGGTTCTTTGTGATCTCCTTTTGGAAGTCTTGAGCTGCCAGTTGTTTATTAGCAGCTCGTTGCTGGTCTGGCCCATGTTCACCAGGAAGGGAATTAAGCCACACCCCTTGGAGAGAAGATCGAAGACTGGATATGTTTTTCAGTTACCACACAGAGAGAGTGCACAAAGGCTGGTGGGGAAAGGGGCGCACCAGTGTGTGTGTGGGAAGCACCCCTAGACTTCCAGCAGGGGCAGAGCATATGGTGATGGAAAGTGGGAGAAAGGTCTGGAAAGGCAAATGCAACACCGTTTGGTGCATGACAGGAAAGGAAGATATTGCACAAGGTGGGTCTCTCAATATCTTCTGAAAGGCCTGACTATTTAGATTCAAAATGGCAGTGTGATTAAAGTAAACTGTTAGCATTGTAAAAATAAGGTTGAGCCGACCTCTCCATTACTAGTTGAAGAGCAGTTACTGTATTGGTTCTGAAGTATCCTGTAGGACACATACTTGCGTTTGATATCAGGCATACTGTCTTTGGGGAACTCCGGTTTGCATGGACCATTGCTGAGCTTTGCCAGCCCCTTGTATTTTCTCCTTAACTTGTTACTGTAACATCATAAGCATATAGCGTAACATATAACATATAGCATTCCTGTGGAGAGGAGGCTGTAAGTTCTGTGTACCTGTCATGTAGCTTCAGCGGTGCTGTTCACCTCCCTCATTCTCTTCTGGAGTTTTCTTCACCAGATCAGAACTGGGCTTCAGTCCCAGAAGAAATAGCAGTAGTTGTTGTAGCTAGACCAAGAGATTTCTAATCTTAACTTTGCTTCAGAAATTAACAACAACAAAAAGTCAATCATTTCCCAACAGTCAACTGGATCCTTGCACCTTCTCTTTTGAATGGCGTCTATCACTCATCTTTATCTTGTTACTGACCCCAGAGGATTACTAACCTGGGAAATAAGATCACGCATGCTGCTACCCCCTGCAAGCCTCAGTATTCCACATTTATAACATGAAGGATTTTAAACTCAATGCTGTTTGGAAACACTGCCTGTTACCAAGTACAAGCATGATAGAGGTGATTTTTTTTAATTATCCAGGGATCTATTTAATTATACCACAACGATATTTTCGATGGAAGCTTCCAGAGACTTGGCTGCCGCTCTGGGCATCATTGAAGAAGGGCCAGTGATTTGCCATTGGCTGCTGTCCTGTAGTCGAATGGTGACTTTACTGGGGGGGAAAAGCAGTACATGAGAGAGATGATGCTCACATACTCCAGACCCGTCCCTGGAGAGGCATTCTATTGACAGAAACTGCCTTTGGTAAATTGCTTCTGGCATGGTCACTGCCTACCACTGGTGTTTTGGAACAAGTGGGAAGGCACCGCTGTCAGAAGGGTCTGTGGCGCCCAGGCATGGACGCGGGCTTGTCATTCTGACACAGAGAACAGCATGCGACTGCCATGGCTGGCAGTGATAGCAAAGTGACGCTTTGGGATGGCTTCGTCCCACTTCCTCCATGTCCTGGGGCCTTTGGAAATGTACGCTCCACGGCTGACCGTTTCCCAATCTGCTGCCGATGCCCCTGGGTACCCCACTCTGGGGGTGATTGGCCGATGGGAGGGAAAGGGCAAGGGACAGGATGTGGGGCAAGGGATCATTGTTAGCAGAGCACTGAAGCCAGGGATAGGAATGTGGAAACAGCACCAGGCCTGGTCCCAGGCCCAGTTAAGCCAACTCTGACCCTTCCGTCTCCCTGACCTTTCTAAATAGCTCATTGAGTTCTCTGGCTATCTCATCTGGTCCTGGAAGCCTGGGAGAACCAGAAAGTCAGGGCATGAACTCTGTCTACCCCTCAGATTCTCTAACTGATGGCATTGACTAAGGCACACAGGCCTTTTCCATGTTCCAGCTTTCCCCCTTTTCTTCTCCTCTTGTCCCCCAATACGTCTTCTGTTCCGTGAGCTCTCCCAACAGAAATGAACCAGTCTGATGTCACTGTGTGCCAACTTCAAAACAAATGGTCATTTTTACCACTGGGGTGAAGACTGGGAACGGGAACGGGCTTGTGGAGGCCACGCGGGGCCAGGCGAAGGCAGGGCCGTGCTGAATTCCAGCGCCTTGACACATGTTCCCCGACCTCATGCGGCTTCCTCTCTGTCTCCACAGCCCAGCCCGTCCTGTACTGGTGTGCTCGCAACATGTCTTTCTGGAGCAGCATCTCATTTAACCTGGCCGTCCTGATGAATCTGCTTGTGGCGTTCTTCTACCCATTTAAAGGAGTGCGAGGAGGTATCCGCTGTCTTTAATTCTAAGGGAACAACACATCCCAACAGAAAGTCTATGACTTGACATCCTAAATAGTGTTTCTGGAACTGTAGGTGCCATATTTAGGATCCGAGTTACACATTGGCAGACAAGATGAGATGGTAGCTTTTGCCTCGGAGTTTGAGCTCTAACTTCAGATAACGTAAATATTATATCAAACATTATATCAGGATAATTTTTTTCCACTAGCAGAGAAGAAGAAGAAACTATTAAACCCGTGGGAAGTTGCCTTTGCTCCCTTTGTTGGACATATTGGGGAAATATATGTCAGAGAGGTCGAGAGATTTAGCAAGGCTTACTGAGTGCAGAGACACTGAGATGATCATTCTGCTGCTTATTTTCCACACCATGCTTCTGGAATGGATTTCAGACTAAAGACTGTGTAATCCTTGTAATAAATTTCTGGATTTTTTTTTTTTTTTACCCTGCTTTTGGTTTTGCCAGAGGTCAGAGAAGACTGGAATGGCTGAAGGCTCTTCAGTGGAGTAGAATGTTTAGTCTGCAGAGTGCTGATTGCATTATTCATGGATTTTCCCCCGCCCACCACCACCCACCATCTCCTTCCGGTCACTCCTCCCACCCTCCCCCCCCCCCACACACACACATGAGTATGCTCCATGCTTTGCTAAGAAAACACAAATCATTAAGGGTGGGCATTCATGTTTGAGGAACCCCTCAATTTGCTCCTGGTACATGAGATATATTTACCCTTGTAGGGTCCTCTTTTAAGATACTCCTCAGTTAAACCTACAGCCCTCCTTCCCTCCTCTTGGTGGTACTGGAGATGGAACCCAGGGCTTCACATAAGCTAGCCAAGTGCCCTACCCCTGAGCCTTCTGGGAGGTCTAGTTCTCTAGCTAAAGTTTTCATCAGTTTTTGGCAGACCATTTCACCGTTGTAATGTAGCCATCTGCCAGGATCTACCTGTGTGAGTCCTAATGGGATAGAGAAACTCCAAAGTAAGCCATATAAACAAAACAAAACAGTGGGGGAGTAGGTTCCAGCTCGGCTCTTGCCCTTCATAATGCGGGCAAAGGTGTCTGCAGCACATGTGTATGTAATAAAAGTATGTTTAAAGACCAATTTGAAAGTGATGACATGTTATGTAATGCTTATGTATCTAGCCCCATCTGCAGTGTTAGCTTTTCTATCTGGCCTCAGGTTGCACTGAAGATGCCGTGTGGATGATTTTTCTCCCAAAGTATAGCTTTTTTTTTTCCCCTTTTAAATGCCAGGTCAGGAAACACAAGGCTACAGGGTCTTCTCTGTGGGGACACCACCTTACCCGAGCAGAAATGTGAGCACAAAGGTCCTGACAATGGCTGTGGCCGGACCCCAACCCCTCCTGCCTCAGAAGACCTGTGCTCATCGGAGCATGACAGTTGAGCCATTGCTTTGGATGTGTTTTTCATACGCCCCCCGCCCCCCCAATTCTTAAAATAAAAACAAAGACAAAAAACCTCAAGTGCTGTTATCAGGCCCCAGTGGTTCCTACCTATAATCCTAGCTACGCAGGAGGCTGAGATCTGAGAATCAGAGTTTGAAGCCAGCCCAGGCAAGAAAGTCCTTGAGACTCTTCTCTCTAACCACCAAAAAGCCAGAAATGGAGCTGGGGTCCAAGTGACAGAGTGGTAACTTTTAGTGAAAAAACAGGGAACAGTGAGCAGGCCCTGAGTTCAGACCTAAGAGGCCCACTCCACTGTTCACCTTGACTTTTCTTCACTGGTCCCTAGTGGCAGCATTCAGGCAAGTGTCTAGGCCACTGAGTTCAGGGCAGCCCTTTAAGCCTCAAGTCCTACTTGAAAAATCCAGAGACTTAGTGTCTAGGCCTAATAGCACTGAACACTGGCCCGCTCACTCATTGGCCCCATTTTTTTTTAATTACTCTTAATCTTACTAGATGCTTCCATTGAGCCCATGCTTGTGAGGCTTTGGGATGTTAGGAAAGACAGTAACAGCATCCTGACTCCCACCGAAGTTTAAGACTCGGTGGATTAAGAGTTCTCTTATACTCTAAAATGGTGCATTCTGAATATGACCTCACCTCCCACTGAGCTGCAGAAGTCTAGGCTTCCTAACGGGGAACCACAAGGCTTTAAAACCTCAAGCTAATGACTGAAACAGAGTCCGGGCTCGTGGGAGGGAACAAGTTGCTCTAGCCTAAGGAAACCTAAAGCCATCTCAAGCCTAGTAACTCCCCTGTTTTCTTTTTGTATTACGTGCATTTGGTGCAGTCCCTGCTAGCCATCTTCTGGAGACTAGGAATAAGATCTGCTTCCTTATCTTCACCCTGCCTAGAAATAGGATCTGTGTCATGGACCTGGAAGTATTTTATGAGGTCAGCGTTTGTTAGAGGCTAGAAGTATAGCTATGGTGGAGCAATTACCTAGCATGAGCAAGATCCTGGACTTGAGCCTCAACTGAGGAGAAAAAGAAGTATGCTGGTATATATACACTTACAACTTCTTATATCCTAAAACCAGGATATCCAAAATGTCCCACTTAGCTGTGTGTGCTAATATGGTTTTGCAGTGCATAAGATTTGTGGGTGCCAAGAACAGCAGTGGCCTTAAAAGCTCCTGTTTGAAAGTATGACTCCTATCCCTTTATTCAGAATGAATGAGTCACACAGCCTTTCAGAAGCATGACACGTAGGCAAGGAATTGGTAAGCATGCCATAATGGTTCAAGCAAATGTAGAAAGACCTCTGAAACTCTTTTATTACTGATATCTTCAGGTAGACACACAAGTAGAAAGAATAATGAACTGCCACAAGCCTATCAGCCTAGGTTTAATCATTAACATTCTACCTGTCGTGTTTCCTCTATCCCCTCTACTGTGTTTTCTGAAACACTTTAAAGATGTTTAGACATCTTGTTGTTTGGACCATAAATATTTCAGTGTTCTTCTCTAGCTCATTAGCATGTTTTAAAATACATATAATTACCATGCCATTATATGTAACAAAACTAACAGCAAATCTTGTATTCAGTCTGCCCAAACTCCCAATTCCTCCAGCTGTCTCTGAAACATCTTTCCAGAGTTGGTTTTTGTAATCCAGTACTATTTTTGGTTAATGCTGCTTTCATAGCGGACTTCTGCATACATGTTATTGTACTGGCCACAGTTATTAGACTTACATACTTAGAACTCTCCAATAGAAAGACAGACCTATTGAAAAGTGGGCCACAAGACAGTTCACAGAAAAATCAGTAAGCAAAACATATGGAGAGATGTCCAGTATCACTGGTTGTCAGGGAACTGCAACATAAAACCACAGTAACATACCACTGTCAACTTCAGGGGTGACATTGTAAAGGCCAACAGACCAAGTGTCAGCAACGATGTGGAGGAAGCAGAACTCTCATGTACTACAGAGGGGAAGGCAAAATGGCAGTCATCTTGGAAAGCCATATGACAACAATTCATAGTTATGCATGTATTTAAGATCCATTGGTCTGCTAGGCACTGGTGATGGTGACTTATGCCTGTAATCCTAGCTACTGGGGAGAAGGAGATGAAGAGGATTTGAGTTTCAGGATAGCTCAGGAAAAAATAAAGCTATGTAGACTCTATGTCAACAGGAAAAGAAACTGGCTGTGGTGGTGTATACCTGCCACCTCAGTCATGCAGAAAGCATAAATGGGATCACAGTCTAAGCCAACCAGGCCAAAAAGCAAGACCCTATCTTAAAAAAAAAATTAGCCAAAGCAAAGAGGACTTGAAGTGTATCTTCAGCAATTTTAAGCATCTGCCTAGCAAGTGTGAGACCCTGGGTGCAGACCCCAGTACTGACAAAAAAATCAAGCATTTGTCCAAGAGAACTGACAACATATGTTCACTCCAAGATTTGTATTTGAATGTTCCTGGTAGCTTTATTCATGATGTCTCCAAAGGAGAAGGGATTTAAATACCCACTCACTATTGAATGAATGAATAAATGGTAGTATATCCATAGTGTAGCATATTACTCAGCAACAGGACAGATCAACACTCACTAATGACCCAAATGGCTCTTAGTCACTTGGTAAGTGATAGATGTCAGGCACAAAAGGCTGCCTACTAAACTTACTTTTTTCTTTTTTTGTGTCAGTACTGGGGCTTGAACTCAGTGCCTGAGGGCTGTCCCCTGTCTTTTTCACACAAGGCTGGCACTCTGACCACTTTAGCCACACCTCCACTCCCATATTTTTCTGTTTTAATGAAATCCTATAAAGGTTATATAATGACAGCACACACATCGTGATCGTTTACAGGTTGAGAGAAGGTAAAACATTGAGCCAAGAAGCACAAGGAAACTTGTTGCCAGGGTGATAATATTCAAGAGTGTGATGGTGGTGGCAGTTTTATCTGTTGATCACATCATTAGCCAGGTACCAGTGGCTCACAGCTGTAATCTTAGCTACCTGAGAAGCTAAGACGGAAACAGTCATGGTTCAAGGACAGCCCAGGCATACATGTAAAACCCCTTCTCAACCAAGAGTTGGGCACAGAGGCGTGTGCCTTGACATCTGTGTAGGAGGCTGAGGTTGGGAGAGTTGCAGTTGCAGGTTAGCCCATACCAAAAAATAAATAAATAAAAGTGCATAAGACTCCATCTCAGAAGAAGCTGGATGTGGTGGCAGATGCCACATAGTCACCCCAGCTGTGATAAGTAAAATAGGTGGATCGTAGTTCACATGCACTCCCAGGAAAAAAGCAAGACTATCTCAAAATAACCAGTACAGAACAGGGAGGGACGTATAGCTCAGTGATAGAACACGTACCTAGCAAGCATGTTGTCCTGAGTTCAAATCCTAACACTGTGTGTGCACGCACATGTGCAAATTTACCAAATTGCATACTTATACTGGGTGGATTGTGTTTTAATGGTGGCCTTAGAGGTACGTTACCTCCGTCCGTTCACTGGGTCACTCTGGGCAAGATAGGTAGCCTAAGACTGGAATTTCTTGATAATAGAGTTATTCTACCATCTTCATGAGATGATTGGGAAAAATGAATCAACCATAACATCTGGGGCCTAATACACTTGACAACCCAAAAATGTACACAAGAGTGATGTGCATACCAGACTTGGAATTTCTGAAAGTGTTGGCCCATTTCTGACCAGGTTTAATGCATACCGCAGGTGGACAGAAATCTGCGGCCGGGGCTAGAGGAACAGTGATTACAGAGGAGGAAAGTGTCTGGGTAGGCGTGGCCTGGAGTGGAAGAGCTACATTGCACGGGCGCCTCTTGCTGAATGGTGGTGTAGTCCCTGCAGTTCAGACGAAGTGAACTTTATATAAGCGTCCTTAATCATGTAGTGCTGCTTGTCTACATCCGAGGGAGACTCAAAAATGTGACAGCATTTGCAATAGGGGTGTTTCTTTTTTTTTTAATGAGTGTTTTACAGAACTATATTTTTAGCCACGTTGGCTCATGTTATATAACCAAGACATCTCGTGGGACACTCTAAATAGAACTTGCAATAGCAAGAGATGACAAAAACTGGTGGAAGCTCTTCGACTGCAGGGATAATCTTAATTGTAGATGATGCTCCTGACACGGAAGCTGCTTCCCTTGGAAGTCTGAGGCAGCCAGAAGACCTAGAGTTTTCCTGTAATAGAAAGGAAGTACAGGCTTGTAGTTTGCCTCCTCCCCCAAGAGTGACTTGTGACAGGTGTGTGAATTTTATTTACTGAACAAGCGTCTAGCAAGGGTTCAATGAGGTGCAGTCTAGACAGACAGACAGAGAAGTCAACACCGGAAGTTAACTCCAGAAGGTAACTTCCTATGGGACAGAATAATTGCCCAGCACAAAAAAAAAGCCTTGGTTTTCCAGAAAGTGTAGGAATGTGCAGAGGAAGAGGGGACACCTGGCATTCTTTTTGAGGAAGAAAGAGATAGGGGAGACTTTCCGGGAGGGATCCTATCTAAGCTAAAGTGAAGATGCATAGGAAAGGGAGAAGATATTTCCCAGACGGAAAACAGGTACGATGGTTGGAAGCCCAAAGACATGGACCTGGTGGGTTATATCTGGGGCTCAGACTGTGAGGCAGGACCTGCCCTGATCCATCGCCTCTGTTTCCCTAGCGACCTAATGTGATAGGACCTTGCTCTGTCCTTCCAGGAACGCTAGAGCCGCACTGGTCCGGCCTGCTGTGGACAGCCATGCTCATCTCTCTGGCCATCGTCATTGCCCTGCCCAAACCCCATGGCATCCGGGCCCTAATTGCTTCCACAATTCTGCGGCTGATATTTTCCGTCGGGTTACAACCCACATTGTTTCTGCTGGGCGCTTTCAATGTAAGTATGGCTATCTTTGTAGCCACAGTGTGTGTTTGTGGGTAAATAGGGAGGCTTTCTATTCTGGTCCTTGGGCTTTCAGCCCAGAACAAAAAAATACTGTTTGCGTCAACCGTTCAAGTAGCACAAGCAGGAGAATGCCATGGGTGGCATCTCCTCTTGACCTTCCCAGGCCAGCGGGAACTTCCTGGCAGTGCCATTTTTAGGGGATTTCCTCAGCAGTGAAGCCAGAAGATCGAAGTTAAGATTGAAATAAGTTTGCCAATCTGGCCAAAGGTTTGTTTGCGCTATAGATTTTAGCCAGTAAGTCAAGTGATGAAATAGTAACATGCACTCACTTCCGCAAAGGCCCTGCAGAAATAAAAATGGAGGTGAGAGAAACTGATCACACACCGATCGAGTGGCAGTGAGTGAGGAGGGTTGAGGACAGGAGCTTGGAAGTCAGTGGTGACATGGAAACCCACCTCACTGCCGTCGAAGGTTAACAGCCCCTGCGTCCATGGGAGGATTCTTGGACAGTGGATATGGCTGATATAAAGACTGTACAGGGGCCAGGACGGTGGCTCAGGGGTAGAGCGCTTCCCTCACATGCATGAGGCCCTGGGTTCGATTCCTCCATACCACATAAACAGAAAAACCCGGAAGTGGTGCTGTGGTTCTAGTAGTGGAGCGCCAGCCTTGAGCTGAAGAGCTGAGGGACAGCGCCCAGGCCCTGAGTTCAAGCCCTATAACTGATGAAAAAAAAAAGACTATACATTGCACAGGTTTCCCAGTGGGCGCGGGAGGAGGAGAAGGGAGAAAATTTGGACACGGCATGCCATGTACTATATTATCTGAAAGCACCTCCCAGAAATTCCTATGCCTGAGCGCATGAAGAAGCTGCGATCCTGACAATACCAAAATAAAGGTGAAGCTGTCTCCCAGCTGGGCGCTGACGGTGCGGAAGGCTTCGCACAGGCCTGCGCTGGGGTCCCAGTAGCTGCCCACTCCTCACGGTCCTGGGCAGGGACGCAGAGCAGGCGTAGACGATCTCCTTCCCGAGGCAGGAGTGGTAGGACGTCCTTTCCACCTAGACTCGGGTCCTGCTTGAGGGGAAGGAGACACCGATGGGCAGAGTCCACCACGGGTGTCACAGGCAGCCACACGTGACTGGCAGAGGACACACAGGTCTGGTGAAAATTCAAATGGGAACCGGGAAAGCCACACCGTTTGGATTGACGAACATCCGTGCTGAAGGTGCGGCCTCCCAGTGAAACAAAAAATTGGTTTGCAGGTACTTCTGCGGGAGGCGGCTGTGGGGGCAGCCCTGTCGGCTGGGCTGCGGCACGCCCGGCGTGGGTCGTTAGTGTAGAAGAAAAAAGAGGGAACGTGCAGGTGTCCCCGTGCGAAGGAAGGCTTTCCACGGAGAGGCCGCGTCTGGGCCTCGTCAGAAGAGCAGCCTGGTCTTTTTCTTCAGGCAAAGAAGACATGACTGTCTTCATTTGATAATGACAGAGACAAATATCACACCAAACTTCCAGGCCTGGGTGCCTGAGAGAAGGATATGGCCACTAGCTGAAAGGAAGTCACACGGTGATCCAATTTGCAGGGTGCATGTATTCAAATTGTCGGTTTATTAGGGTTGAGGTGACACAGCACGCTATTGTTAGCTTTGGCTTTTGGAAATGCATGACCAAAATGGCTGCTAGATAAGGCTGAAGGGGGAGAGCAGCTATCACCTTCCCTGAGAGGAAGTTATTTAAGAAGGAAATACTGGATGGACGGATGGGTGGGTGGGTAGATGAGTGGATGGACAAAAGGATGGGAGAGGGAGGAAGAAGAAATGTTAATACCCTAGAGGTGGTCTTCTATGGATTCTCTAGTTCTTTTCCTTTCCTATAATCATTGCACACTGTATTAACTTCTCTACCACAAATAATTTGTGGGGAAGGTTCAAATCGGATAATTAATTACTACTTACAGAGAAAAGAGCAAATCAGCGATGATCATCATTCGGTCAAATGCAAGGGAGAGAAGGAGAAATGGAGACGGAGAGGGGGAGAGAGAAAGACCTCCTGGAGTACATGGGAGGGGGGAGGGGCAGGAAGGAGGAAGAGGCCGCCATGGTGGTGGGTGGTGGTTGAACAGAGGGAGTTGTGGTCAGGATGGGACGGTGAGCTTTTTAAACCAAGGGGAATTGAAAGGGAGAAAAAAAAAAAAAAGCAAACATACTCAGGCAGGATCCCCAGGGAAGACTTTACAGAAGCTACTTCTGGAAGGAGCTGAAGCTGGAAGACAGATTGGAGATAAGGAAGCAGAGTGAATTAGGAGTGGGGACAGCAGGCGAGATCATGAGTTAATAGGAGATGCATGCTGGGGAAGCGATAGAAGCTGAAGAGAAAAGTGGGTTCAGATGAAGCCGTTGCTCTCTCCAAGTGGAAGCGTGTCAGCCTCAGGCCTCATCGTCCCCTCCTCCGCCTGGCTACCCCTGCATCAGCATGGGTCATCTAGTCAGTGATCCCCGCCCCCATCCTGTGAAAGACCCTCCCCAGCGAAGTCTACAGCACTGGCACCCTGGGCAGCTGGCACGCTCTACCTGAGAACACCAGAGGTTCTCTCAGGTGTTGGCTTCCTCACATATCTGATTGAGGAGAGGCTTGCTTACACCGACCTACAGATTAGCTGGCATAAGTGCCCGCCAGCTGCAGCCAAGAAAGCTAGGGTAGCGGAAGATGGTTTTACCAAGTACATTCGAAGAGCTTCCTCTCTAGCCTTCCGATTGGAGTTTCTCTACATGTTCCTGGAGGCCGACTTGTAGGTGTGGCATGTCTATCCCAGATGGGACTGGTTGGTCCAGTAGGAGCCACGACTCTTTTTACCTGTCACTCAGGAGTCACACACCCCCTCCGTGCAAGCAGAAGCAGAAGAGAAAACCAAGAGGGTAACATCGGGGGTAGCTGAATACAGGGGCCAGACGTGACGTCAGGGCCCAGTTCCTCTGTCCTGTCTTCCGGCCCATCTCCTCTGGACTGAGGGTGCTCTCATACTCTGGGGGGATGGTAAGCGAATGCCAGCAGAACCAGCGCGTACACCTGTTCTAGTTCATGGTCTGTGAACAAGAACAAAGTAGTCTTTTTTTTTTTTTTTGCAATCCTGGGGAAGAGCACTGTGGATGCCATTGGCTCTGATTGGCTTCGTGCCTCACCAGAAAATAGAATTAGCCAGCCTGCAACCTCAGCCAGACCTCAAGAACCAGTTCCTAGATATGGACCATCCCCAAAAGAAAACCAGAACTTAGTCCTAGAAGAAAGAGGGGGGGGGGGAGATGGGAAAGGGAAACAAAGGAGGAGTCAGCAATGCTTGATAAGAAATGTACTCATTATCTTGCCCATGTAATTGTAACCCCTCTATATGGTATTTTCACAATAAAGGAAGGAAGGAAGGGGAAATCAAACGTATCAAACATTTTACTTTTGTTTCCCTAAGAAAATTCTCATTTTCCTCATAAACAGGAGCAGGGGGGGAGAAAAGACAAGACTTGTCTATGTCTCATCAAATTGAAACCCTGAAATGTCTAGAATGTCACAAATTCAGCAAACACTTTAAATCATGTTGAGCACAGAGTTCATGGATAGGGGTGGCTTCTGTGTTTGACTAACTCACAGAAGAATGTTTAGATGTGATTCATATCTCACTCTGGAAATTAGAATCTCAGTGTGTGTTGATTTTGTTTTGCCATAGTCAAACACTTCTTGATTACGGTTGCACATGCAATTATTTGCCTGCCGGTTTATTTGTGCTGTGCCTGAAAAGCAATGCGTGAAATGACTTGGAGTTACAGAATGGTTCTGGGCAGGTCTGAGTGAGACACTCCCCGAGCGAGTGATCACGCACAGTTGGGTCTGATACACACCATCTAATTCCTCCCCCCGATTGTCCTCAGGTCTGCAATAAAATCATCTTTCTGATGAGCTTTGTGGGCAACTGTGGAACATTCACCCGGGGTTACCGAGCCATGGTTCTGGATGTTGAGTTCCTCTATCATTTGCTGTATCTGCTGATCTGCGCCATGGGGCTCTTTGTCCACGAGTTCTTCTACAGTTTGCTGGTGAGTACCGCGTGTCAGAATATTTCACATGCGGACAACAGCAGAGTGTGCTCTGGCCTCTTTCCTCACCAACCCTGCCTGTGAATGGCAGTTGGCACGCCAGGTCCGCTAAGGTGGCGGCCCCACGACACCCACCGTATGGAGATCTAACACAGGAAACCGGGCAGCTCTCTTGAGCCCCGGGTCGTGCAGTCTCAGTGTGTCCCCTGCCCAGAACAGCAACAGCACACTTGCCTTCCAGTAAAGAAGGGGCTCACCTGGCCCAGGAGAGGCATCCTCTCTGGGCAGCTTTGTTTCTCAGACTCAGGCAGCGCTTGCCAAAGGGAATGTTTTTCTGAAACTGTCATTGTCTTCAGTCCTGACGGGACCCATTTCTCAATGTAGACATGGAGTGACCACAAAGAGCGGGGCCATGTCCAGAGCCCCACCCCCGTGGTCATGAGCTGGACAGGTGTGTCCACCCAGCAAGCCTTTTCAGTAGAAGTCATGTTGTTCCCCGTGAGCCAAGTGACTAATCTGTTGAGAGTCTATAAAATGAGTCGCTTCTGTCCCCTCTCTTCGGAGCACGTTTTTAAATTGCAAAGCAAGTAACTGTTTACTGTCCTGTAATTAAAGGGAATCTGGACTGACAGCACTGCAAATAAGAAACTGTTTCCACGTATCTATGCAACACAGCAGGAAATAGAAAATTTGGCCTACCATAAGTGACTTAGAAATACAAAAATGGGAAGACCGAAAAATGACCCAAGGCTTTAGAAAAAACAGAGCAAGGAAAACTCTCGAAGGAGGTGCTAGCCAGCTGTTTTCTGAGCTGGTTACTTCATTGCTCGGTGCCTTGATTTCCCCATCTACCAGTGAGGAGAATGATCTGTCTCCTTAAAGGCATTCTGTGCAGCTGTTCGTGTCAGAGTCTTAGAATAGCACAGCAACATGGTGGTTGGCTATTACTGTCTTTGTCATCTTGTTGCCTCTCCCATCCAAAATACCATAAAGACTTCACCAGCATGAGCTCATTCCGTTAGTGGTAGGCATCGGCAGGCTACAGGGGAATAGGTTCTTTCTCCTCATTTTAAAATAGGTCTGGCTGAGCTCTGAGGTTTTAGGCAGAGAAGTCTCGGGAAGTGTCTGCCATTGTGTGGCCTATTTTGGTCACTCCCGTATCAAAAATCTTCAGAGCCTTGTATCTATTTCAGAACCTTTTTGGGTCACACAGTAACGGCCCTCGTTGAGGTTCTGGCTTGTGAGTCAGGGAAACCTACGTCTGCTAACCCAGCAAATTCCTTCCCTGGCTCACTCGGTGTGGTATTGTCTGTTGTCCCCCTGCCAAGGGGTCTTTCCCAAGAGATGGACACTGTTTGGATGGTTGTGTTCTTTTCCTTGTAGAAGCATTTGACTTTCTATCATCTGCCTCCAACTCCATTCGCATCATCATGGCCTGTTTGCCAGGCCAGCCAGTGCCTTGCTAGATACAGCAGACAGAGCCTTGAGATGGAATCCCTATCTCACAGCCTCACTGTCTCAAAAACAGGCACTTCTATCGCTTACCACATGTACTCTTCCCCTACGCGCTCACAACCCCACTGGAGGTAGATGATGTCTTCAGATTGCATCTAGAAACCTCGGTAAGGTTGCCCAAGAGCCGATCCAAAGCCACGTAGGAAGTGGCCGAGGCAGGATGGCACCCCAGCTCCCATGAGCCCCCATGTCCGCATCACCTCTCATCTGAACACGTGGAAAAGCTCCTACCCCGTCAAACCGGTGGTTAGTACAGTCTTACACGTGTGACGTCAGATCCCTCCCTGACCACAAAGAATTCTAAGCTTTCCTGGTGGTGTTACCTGAGCTCAATTCCCTCTTAGAAAAATGTAGTGTAGACCATGTTGGGTGTCTCTTCTGTTCTTGGGAGGGTTTTCTGAGCACTCTGGGCCTTGGCTTCCCTGCGGCCTGAAGTGATGAGCTCCTTTTTTGGTGTTAAAAGCAGCGCTGAACTACTGACCGTGTCTGCTGAGGACCACGGACACAGTACTGAAACTATTCAAATTATTCTACAAAGAAGGAAACCCGGCAACCAAAAGAAGCTGGGTTTTCTGTAGAAAGAATGAGGCCTCCATCAGAGGAAGCCATGCCACAGGGTGGGGCGCCCTGCCCTCTGTGGCCGCCAGCCAGGGGTCCAGGAAGGACACCGAGTAATCTGGTGGCCTAATTAAAGTCTCCCGACCCCCCAGAGACTGGCTGGACCTGGCCTCAAACTTGCCTTTGTGTACTTAGAAAAATATTAACACCGGAGATGAAAACGTACAAAGTTCATAAGCAAGCAGGTAACGAAAGGAGGAATCCAGATGGTCAGTGAACACAGAAACATTTTTGTTCATCCTCAAGGCTGAATAAAGACAGGCTAATTAAACCAGTGCATGATCCCCATTTTACTCAAGACATGAAGAAAACATTTTTAAAAAAAAAGGGTAGGATCGTTCGCAGTACTGATAGCAATGGGGGACAAAATAGGCTTTAAATAACAACTACTGGTATACAACCTGTGTGGACACAACAGGTGATATGTGTCTATTGTAACCTAGTTTCTGTTTGCAGAAATAAACTCCAAAGAAATAACGACATATGTATGTATAGAAACACACACAGAGGTATTCCTTACAGCATTATGTAAAATTATATGTAACTGAGACATCTTGACTGTTCAAAAATATTAGTTATGTTAATGGTGTTGTTTCCATCTAAGCAAATAGTAGGAGATCATATTTGACATGAAAATGAATGTTCATGACTGCTGGGTGAAAGACTGGCTATCTGCCAGTATTGTGGCATCTTATTTTTATAAAAATGTATCTTGTATCTTTTCAAGGTCAGAAGGAAATGACTTGTTGATTGGATGGCTGTATGGATGACGGGATTACTAGAGACTTTTTTGTATCCTATGTTTGCTTGAACATGGGTCATTTTTTTAATTAAAGCATTTTCCCTTATATAAATAATGCATGTTGTTTCAAAATGAAAATCGTTAATAAATATGAAGAAGAATAGTCACCTGCCATTTCTCTGTGATGTGGGGCTCTGTGATTGTTACCCACAGCAAACAAGTAGCTTTTGTGTATTGTGTGGAGTGCGCAACCGCTTCCACTGGGGTTGCTGGGAAATGTTTAACCAACATTAACAGCAACCTTAGCCTTTTGTCCTCACACACGGATTCCTCCCGACTTCCTCCGGAGGACCCTTCCTTACCTGTTCTCTTAAGACACAGATCAAGCTTGGCCCAAAAACAAAGCTTCTTGGGCAGGAAATGGAGCTTGGGTGTAAAGTTCAAAACTAGAAGGGATTCAGAGGTCAGCTAGTTGAGTCCACTTATTCCACAGATGAGGAAATCGAGGCCCGGAAGGGTGAGATGATGTGACTAGCGTCTTGTCATAAATTAAAAGTAAATCCGGGAACTAGGCCCTTTCCCTCTGGCTGACTTCACTTTGCCCAGTCATACCCTAAAGCCACAGTGGAGGCCACTGTAGAGAGGAGAAGACTAGGTTAGCACAGAGCCCGTATTAAAAGTCCAGATTTCCACCGGGGCTTGGTGGCCCACATCTGAAATCTCAGCTGCTTAGGAAGCGGAGGCTGGAAGATCACGACCTTCCTTACAGCCAGTCCAGCGACAGAGCAAAGCAGTTTTCTTTACGTGTTATTTTTAATTTCAAAAACGTGTCTAAGTTTCTACCGTGTAAGAGTGGCTGTAGAGAACACTGCCCATTGCCACAGCATTCCCTCGGCCAACTAGCCGTGATGGCAGTCCTTGGGGAGTTTCGCCTGGGCATGGCTCTATGGATCCAGCTTCCTGCAGAGCAGGTCCCCTGGCATGGGGTTCCCCCAGCCCCCCCACTGGGGAAGGAGCATAAGGGACGAGGCTTCCTGGTGTATCCCCGTCACCAGTGTCCCTGCCACGTCATAAGTAACCTTGCCCCAGTCTCTTCGTTCATCAGGAAATGGATGATTGCATTTATGGTACTTACTCACCATGGGAGTGTGCTTGTGTGCTGTGTTCTTCAGGACAGGCTGCACAGAAGGACACCGAGGCCCCAGAGGGACAAGGACAGTACCAGGCCCGTGATCACAGTGAAACACATTTAGCTGAGCTGAGATCGGAGCTTTTCCTGAAGCCCAGCAGCTTTGCTGCTGGCTCTGGCTTGCAGCATGCCTGCGTCCCCGCCACACACTCACCCCAGAACAGCGAGGACCAGGATGGCTGGCCCTTAGGAGAAACTCAAGACTTAGGTCCTAACTGATGTATGCCACGTCTAGTCACGCTCTCTCTCTTGTCCTTTGCTCTTTGAAATTCGTGTGTTCTATGTCTAGGACATTTGACCTGCTTCGTGTACTACTTGGAGTGGTTGCTCTTTCTTGACCCCTCTTCTGTATTTACTTTTCTCATTTTTTTTTTCCATCTTGGTTCTCACTTGAAGGCAGGTAAGACATTCAGTGTTCAGATCCTAGTATAACGCTGCTATTGCATTTCCAAGAGGGTGAATGGGCTGTAGACTGTGCTTTCATTATTCGGTAATGATACACTTCTGATAGAGAGCCTTCTTTAAAAATCATCCCGTTCTTTTCTTGTTTTTGAAGCTTTTTGATTTAGTGTACCGAGAAGAGACATTGCTTAATGTCATCAAAAGCGTCACCCGCAACGGACGGTCTATCATCTTGACAGCAGTGCTGGCTCTGATCCTGGTCTACCTGTTTTCCATAGTGGGATATCTTTTCTTCAAGGATGATTTTATCTTGGAAGTAGATAAATTGCCCAATGAAACAGCTGTTCCAGGTGAGTTTGTGGTCTTCTGATCTTTTTTAATGCCAACGCTGTTTCCTAGAGGAAGAAGGGTGGAAGGGGTGGCATTGATCGAGCTGTTGGGTACTTACAGGGTGACATGTTGAATTGAAACTCTTTTGTACAACTAAGGATAATTTTAAAAAAAGCAATTTCCTAATCATAACTGATCTAGAGAAAATGATGCTTTTAGAAATATAGTTCTCTTCCTAACACCAGATCATGAATTGTGAACTCAGGGCTTACTTCTCACTTTGCTTAAAGGGCGATGCTGTACATCACATGCTAAGAGTAGGCGGCCGGATCTTTCGTTAATTTATTTACCATTGTTTTAAACTAGTACACCTTTTTGAAAGCATAAGAGTATGCATTCCCTAGGCTTAGTAAATCAACTTCTAGGAATGTATACTTAAGGGGGGCGGGGCATATTTTTTTCATTGAAAAGTTCATATGTGGTTTAAAATGTGGACAGATGGAACCCGGAGTGGCTAGCAGTGGCTTTCTCCAGGGCCTTTTCCATAGTCAGGTTTTATGGTGAGCTCCTGTGATGTTTATACATGGCAAGAACAGACTTCCAATTTTAAGAATGGAAAACAGCAACCACATACTTGATTCCTACCCAAGAGCTCTTGTCTCTCGATTACAGCAACTGCCCCTACTTAATGAAAGACATCTGATTTGGGAGCAGGTAGCCAGGCTCCCCGAGTCCCAGGAAGAAACTGAACGAATGTTGACCACTGAGGCAGGTGGCCCAGTTCTGTCTCTTGGCATGAAACCCGGGGCCAAGCTGACAGTGGGCAGCACCGGCCGTCAGCCATCTTCAGGCTCTGGACGAAACCGCGGTGGACCCTAGCTTGCCTCCTCGTGCCTGTTGATGCTTCTCTCGCAGACCTTTCCTCTCATCTTACTGGAGTCTGTACATTCAGTAGTTTCTGCCTTAAGAGACGCCGCGGTTTGTCCTTAAAGTTAGAGAGGTGCTATTTAAGTGCGATGTTTCTAGTAAGCCTACAAGAGTTGACGGTTTTTGGCGGTTTTCCCGTCCAGATCACCAAAGGAAAGTGTAAATCACATCTCTGCTTTGAATTTATATGCAAGATCGGAGGGTGTTATTTATGTAAAGGATTGTTTAATCAGCCGTGAATTGGGGACGTCAAACATTTTAACCATATGCTGTTTGTTACAAAATTCCCTTCTCTCTCAGAAACCAGCGAGAGTTTGGCAAGAGAGTTCCTGTACTCTGACGTGTGCAGGGTGGAGACAGGGGAGAACTGCTCCTCCCCCGCCCCTAAGGAAGGTAGGACACACGGCCGCCTGCCCCACACCAACCCTGACACTCCGGCAGAGCAGGAGGTGGAAGCAGTTAGAACAGATGCACTGCTCAGACGTGCAGCCGAGTGTCGAAGAGAGAGGAGGGGCATTGGGGGCAGAAGGAGGCCACATGGGAAGGAGCATCTTTCTATATCAGGGACCATCTTGTCCTGTGGGGTGTGGGAGGCAGGCAGGTAAATAGTTGATCACCGGAGAGTGTCTCAGAGGCTGGGAATCCAGATGCAGAACAGAGGGTCGACCCCCAGCCTAATATTGGGACAAGGGTATCATCAAACAGGCCAGGTCTAAACTGAAACACAGGAGTTGTGCGCAAAGGCAGGTGGGTAGATCTTGGAGATAGTGAAAGTGATGTATGTTAAGGCTTCACGGTCAACACAGCAGCTATAGGGAGATGCTAACCATGTGGAAGCCGAGTAGCCGGGCATGATTCAAGCAGAGGGTCACATCTTAGGTAAGGAGCAAAGGTCCCTCCCGAAGCTGCCTGCAGTTGTTGCCAGGGATGTGATATGATGAGATCTTTGCTTTAGCCAGACTGTCCTCACTGTCCCGGAGGAGGGGGCGGGGCAGGGACGCACGGTTCTTCACCCATAAACCAGTGAGATAAACAGCAAAGCCAAGCATCCAGCGGAACCACTGGAAATCCAGCCATGTCTCAGCCCTTACAACCCCACTGTGAAACGCTGGCCGGTCCCTCACCCAAGAAGCGAGACGCCTCTAACTCTGAGTACCTAGTAAAACGTATCTGAAGCCCCAGTACTACTGTGTTCACGGGTGTGGTTAGAGCTGGCCATCTGCAAAGACAGGGAACATACTGAGAGTTTAGTCTTCGTAGAGGGAGCTCAGTACTGAGGGCTAAGATGGCCTTAGCTGTGCTAAGACAACTCTAGCGTTCCAAACCAATTTAACTCGTGACTTGTGCCCTGCTCACAGCGCTGGTAGTCCCTGTGGAGCAAACGGAGCAGGACAAGGAACACACGTGCGAGACCCTGCTGATGTGCATCGTCACCGTGCTGAGTCACGGGCTGCGGAGTGGGGGCGGAGTGGGAGACGTGCTCCGGAAGCCATCAAAGGAGGTGAGTGCATCTGGAAGGAAGGGCACG